GTGTGTGTGTGTGTGTGTGTGTGTGTGTGTGTGCGTGGATGTTTCATTCTTACACTTTGACAGAATTTTATGTTTCATATTTGTAACGATTGAAGAGCAAGCGAATAATGGAAGTTTAATATTTTTTTATTATTTCGTTTTTCGTGGAAGTCAACTTTTTCCAAATTAATTATCCTTCATTTCGAATTTTATCCCATAAGATCGCGTTTAAAAACTTTACAGATACATCCAGATATCATTTCATCTTTGTTATTCGTCAAATGTTAAATAAGGATAAAACGATATCTGAATGTACCTGAATGAATTTGAATGAAATTTCTGAACGTAACTTAATTGGAACATATAGGTCCTGATGACTCTAGGACTTTTTCAAATTTTTAAATACTAATGATTTGAAATAATTTTATGTTTTATAATTTTATTTTTCACGGTTTTAAACTTGAAAATTCTCTAAAAAAATGTAGCTAATGACAAAAAATATAATAAGAATATAATAGAGTAATAATAAGTATTTTCAATATTAAAAGGAAAAATGGACAATTAAGAGCAATAAAACGTACTCTGTTACTATCTTTACGATTATTTAATGTTGTTCCAAGAATCTTTAAATTATGCAAGACTGCTGAAAATGGCTCAAATTGCCGAAATTCGATCATTATGTAACAATTGAAATTTATTGATAATATAATCGCATTAACTATTGCGCTTTAAGCTCTAAGGCTCTTAGTAAAGATCCTATAATCAGAATTTGGTCACCGATGAGATACTATTAAAGACCGTTAATCCTGGGCAAAATTTTCGGCGGTATAAAAAGAATTCTCGGGCCAAGGGTCCGAAGATAATTGAAGAACGCTTTATCGACATTATCGACAATTGATACAAATTTATTATTATTAACATAAATATTTGGCTCATTATTATAAATTTATGATTTTTTATTACATAAATGTTCCATAAATAAATATGCATACTTATAAAGCTATAATATTCTATATTATTGCAGAAAAATTACAATTTTTTTCTCTGCGAGAATCATCTCTGTTGAGAATCAAACTTTGATGATAATACTGAAATCACAATTTTAAAGAAAAATCGAGTATTATTGAGTTATAAATGCATAATTACGTCTACTAAATTCTACGTCTACTAAACATCTAATAAATCATAAAATTAGTACAGTATTATCAGTTTTTAACTTTTAATCACTTTAATATTCACAAGGACGCGAACTTCCGTAAGGAAATATCGGTGTTTAATAGTATCTCGTTGGTGGTTAGCAAATGTGGACCAAAAATGATGAATAGAAAGAGATAACAGATATTGCTTTCTCGTATGAAATTCGCGTGCGCAAAAAGTGTTAAAATATGTGATAGGTAATACATGACAAGAAATCAATCGAGTTGATCAATTGATCGAATTGAAATTGTGTAATTGTAATTTATCAATTTTCTCTTTATCCAAGATTTCGGAACGATTTCTAATCTCTTTGACACAAGTTTTACTTATCTGCTTGTAGTTATCTCTTTCTTTTCTTCACACTCGTTTTCCGATAATGTACGAAACTATCCGAAGAACACCGAGTGGACCAAAGTAGAGAACCAATGGAGGGACTAATTGGGACTAATGAGAATAATGGCGTGATAATTTGAACATAAATTTATATATATTTATATTTAATACATAATGTCGAACGTTTCGGTTCGGTCATTTTATAATAAATCATGAGCAAAATGTTCGACATTGTTTATTAAATATAAATATACAGGGTGTCCCACAATTCGTGACCAAAATTTGATATTAGGATTTTTGTCTTATTTTTAAGTCAGGTATATGTTATTAAAATTTCGATCACGAATTGTGAGTACACCCTTTACATGAAATATTTAAATATAGTTTAGTACTGCGCCATTACTTTCATTACTCTCATTAGCACGAATCTATTATTAATTTTGCTTTAATAATAAAAATTTTAACTGAGAATTTCTAAAAACTTATTATGTTTCTTTAGTATCAAAAAATGTGTTACAGATTGATTAAATTTTTTATTCCGATTTTTTCTTATAGATTTGAAGATAAATAAACTAACTTTTGTAAGATTTATCTTCTTTGTACAATTGCTTCTTCAATTGTTACATGTCTAAGAACTTTCGTATATGTGTGATCTCTGTTTCTATTGCTTATGCGCTTTGTCTCTTGTAATTAAACGTGCATTAATCGCGTGTGAATTAAGAAACTTCAAATTCGAAAAATATATTTCTTCGTTTTAAATTATTATATCGTACCTTCAAAGCTTCGCTTTAAACACGAAATGTATGATATTGAAAATTATTTCAACTGGAACATACCGCATGATAATCGTAAAAATATCGTTTGCATGCTTTTACAAATGCCTTTTTTAATTGAAAGCTTTTGTATTTTTAGCAGATAAGAAGAGGAAAAGTATGAATATGCTGGTTAATTTTCATTTCAAAGTATGAATATGCTGGTTAATTTGGCATTTCATGCCAGATAATTTTTTCACAGCTAATGCACATATACACAACGCAGATTATCATATGTCAATGACTAGCTTTTCTTTTTATTTCGGCGATTGTGCTTGTTAGCCAATTTGTAATTATAGCATACTTTATTCATGCTGAATACATCAAGAGTGCTCGCATTACAGTTTAATATATTTCAATCATTTAAAGTTTTCATTTTTCTTAAAACTATGTAGAAAAAAAAGGATGTAAGTGACTTGAATCGAAACTCGACCTCACTTACGAATATGACAATTAACTCCGCAAGGAGGTCGTCACTTTACCTGAAAAGTACCCTTAAAAAAGCGATAATAATATTGTCCATTCTCGCTGAAAAATCATTGAAAATCTTTTTCTCGCTTTTCAAACTTATTGAAAAATCGGTCCTCAAATGCCGGCTTTGCGATTAGTATCAAGAAATAACATGCCATGAAGACAACGACTTCAACTTTGGTATTTGAGATTCGACGAAATGTCACGCGCGTATCGTATCATGATATTCCGACGAACCACGATCTCCGGCTTCAGCGATTGATGTGCAACTAAAGTGACGATTTCCGGCAAGAGTGACACTTCTAACACGGAAATGGCCTTTACGTAAATGTCAGATAATTAGGTTTCAAGTAAATGTCTGTTTATATTGAAATTTAATGGAAATGATAGATCTGTCATATACTTACGGTTTTAATTTATATAAAAATCACGTCTCTGCAAAAAAGAAAAACAAAAAAAAATTATTAGTGCATCCCCGAAATATTTTTAATTAATTTTATATATAATATTATTTTATATATAATTTTATATATATAAGCGTCATTTATGCAAACAAAAACACGCCGTGTTGAATGTTTTATTTTTGCGTGAACAATTTCATGAAGATTTATAAAAATAAAAGATCATACGAAATATCAATCATTTAAGTGATGGACAGTGTTAAATAAGGCCGATTTCTGTATAACGAGACTGAGGTTCGCGGGCTCACATATTCAGAAGATAGAAAAAATGCTCTATCATTTTCAGACGACGACCTTGATCGGACTTTTGAAGACGGCTCGTTTGCTGCGCCTTGTCAGAGTGGCCAGGAAGATCGACAGATACAGCGAATATGGCGCTGCCGTTTTGTTACTTTTAATGGCCACTTTTGCCCTTATTGCTCATTGGATGGCGTGTATATGGTGAGTGATACCGTCTATATATCTTCGGAAATACAATCTTTAATCCGTATAACGTATCGAATATTAAAGTAGTATTTCTTTAGCTGTAACTTTCTTAACTCTTTATTATTCGTGTGGAATATCCAGGACAAGTCCGGCCTTATATATATTTGCTAAATGAATATTATTTACATTATACATTATATTTCGCGTAATTATTTCACAATTTTAGAAAAGCATTTTGCATGTAAATTTATCTAATAGATATATGGAATATTATTAATCTTTAATAATAAATAATAAAAATAGAGATATATACTGTCAGATATATATCAATAATAAAAATATGTCAATAATAAAAATAGAGATATATATATATATATATATATATATATGATCGCAACAGAATTTTTCTGAATGCATTAACATAAATAATACACGTGCAGCGGAAAAACACGCGAGTGTAGTAAAGTATCACGTCATTCTTTAATCAAGATAGAGAGACTTTCCTTCATAAGATAGGAAACGTAATAAACAATCGAAAAGTATTTTTTCTGACAGGAAGCATCAATATTGAAGAAAAAAATATGCATTATACGAAATGCATTGTTAAAAT